AACAAATTTTAAAGCTTATTTTAAAAATTTGAATTTTTGGTATGGAAAGTTTAAGCAATTTGCCTTAAGGCACAATGCAATGCACGGCAGTTATCACGTCTTTCTATCATGGAAAAAGAATATAATACAAATTCTTATACATTATATATCGTTCAAAAGTATATATGTGTATATATATATATATATATATACGATATATATATACATGTTTGCGTGTGTGTTTTTGAATATAAATGAATGAACGATTGTACGCGTTGTATATATTTAATATGTATTATTGAATCGAAGAATTATCTGATGGCCGAGAATATGATTTATTACGTTGAGTACATGATTGGTTTGTCCATTCTAGTTTGTTGCTTAACTTTGCTCGAGCGTCTCGCCGCCGCCTCCCCGACCGAATGATGTTATACTATTAACGCGAAACAACCGAGCCGGGTAGTGTGATATAGTAAAGAGACAGAGAATAGAATAGCGATTGCGAAGTCGCGAATTATATTAGTGTTAAGTTCGCGAGCGCTAGCCCGGCCTGCAGCCCGTGGCTAGTGTTAGAAGTATCGAGTCAAAGTATCGATACCGAGTACTGAAAAAAGAATCGAGGCAAAGTATCGATACCAAAAAAGTGTCGTGGCAAAAGTATCGATACTACTCAGTATCGAATATTGAGTATTTTTCACCAAAATCAAACATAAGTGCAAGAAAGATCTAAAACTCTCTACAGGTCGAATTACAATATTATGATAAATTCTATTGCCTGTATTTGATGCTGTTAAATCGGCATCATTTTCAATATTTTGAGAAGTTTAAAACAATAATTTTTAATACTAATTTCAAATTCGATTTATATCAAAAAGAAAAATGCTAATTAATTAAAATATTGTATCGTTTTGTGACGAAAGTATTCATTTATGAATTAAGTATCGGCTAATTTATATCATAAAGAAAAATACTCATTAATTAAAAAATAGTATTGTTTTGTGACGAAAGTATTCATTTATATCATGAAAAAAAACTCATTAATTAAAAAATAGTATTGTTTTGTGACAAAAGTATTTATTTATCAATATAGGATCGGCTAATTTATATCACAAAGAAAAATACTCATTAATTAAAAAATATGTAGTATTGTTTTGTGACGAAAGTATTCATTTATGAATTTAGTATCGGCTAATTTATATCATAAAGAAAAATACTAATTAATTAAAAAAATGTATTGTTTTGTGACGATTATAAAGTAGTATTTATTTTAGAAAAAAACAAAAATCGTCTTTAAATATTAGAATCGGAATTATAATAATTGTAATGGAAATACTTAGTGATTATAAAGTAGTATTTATTTTAGAAAAAAAGTATTGGCTTTAAAAAGTAGAATCGCAAATCGAATGTCTTAATAAATTATTTAACCAAAATTGGTTGCGTGACAATTTCGCCGATAACAAGGTTTTTGCATACAATATACAAAATTTATTATCGTTGATAAACATATGTTCTTGGAGGTAACAGAAATTATATGATCGACGTACGTAATCTTAAACTCTAATTCTTTTATTTATTATTAATCATTGGCTTCGAACTAGGGGCATTCATAAACATTTTCTTCAACAAAAACCATATTGCACTCGACTTATCGCTTGTTTCGTTCGTTATCTATGAAGAAAGGTGTTGCCGCGACAAAAAAGAATGATTGGTGTTCATAAAATGCGGTCGAACTTTTGGTGGAGTCAAAAAATACAGCCGATTCTTTTTGAGTAGAATCGGCGCAAAGTATCGATACCGCCAAAAGAATCGTCCTGAAGAATCGATTCCAAAAGTACTCAGTATCGAAGTCAAAGTATCGATACTTACTCAGTATCGATACTATCGTTCTAACACTACCCGTGGCTCGCGGCTCTCGGCTTGTGGCTCGTGGCTCGTGGCTCATGGCTCGTGCCATATCATTTTGCAAGAGCGCACGCACACCACCGAACACAATCGCCACTAAAATAATATATACCGCAGATGAATATAAACTGTCGCACGCGCCTAGATCGCGCGCTCCGCTTATATAATTTACAATTAAACCTGAGCGGTACTTTCAAGGCAATAAATTACAGATTAGACGTTTAAAGTCTTTCGCCTGCGTTTAGTCTGGGTTTTAACGAGGTAGTTCTAGTTTTTAGTGGCGTCTTGCAGACCGTATATTGTGCAATTAATCAACGCAGCAAAACCGACGGTGCTTGCCGCGCGCTCTATTGACTGTATTATTTACTGTTGCCCGCTATCGGGGAATGTTAAGGGACATAACAGTCATTTCTGCAATACTGCACCTAAGCACATAGCCACGTGCAAAAAACCAATCCGCGTAGCCAGCCATTGAGCTGACGTACTTTCATCTATTGTAAGGATTAGGAAATCAAATATTTAAAAGTTTATGGAATTTTCATCTACATGTGATCTTACGCCAAATTCACTTTTTATTTTTGCCTTTTGTCAACTGAGCCAAAATTTCTACAAATTCTTCAGAGTAAAGGTTTATAAATGTCTGTACGTAAAAATAAAATGCCTGTAAATTATATATATATATATATATATATATATATATACGTATATATATATATATATATATATCTGTGTGTGTATCTGACTATGTTCAGTAAAACTCGCAGCTGATTTATCATTGTAGAATGTGTTTTTGCTGCTTTTCAAAAATTTGACACTGGTCCTCTTTGTCCTATAGGATGAGTATAAATGCCTTCGGGCGCAATGCCTTATTTTTAATGTTAACCAATGCAAAATATAAATTTAATGGGTACATTTTTTACTGTACACTACCCTGATCTAATATTTTGTGAGAAATAATCATCAGTATATTTAGAATAAGTAGTTGTTTATATAACTTGTTTTTGTTACCTTAATTTATTGTTTTATTTTCTATTTTTTATTCTTTACACCTTTACCAGGGTAAAGGTTCAGTTGGTCCTTTTTACCCCACATGTAAGCTTTTATAGAGATTATATAAAAACTGTTAAATCTAACTTGAAAATGAAATATCTTACAAAACACTTACATGAAGTGTACCTGAAAGTTCGATTACGGCCTCGTATACTAAACAACAAAAAAATTAAATACTTTTGGAGGAAATACTTTTGTTACAGCTTTTAAACATTGTCGTTTATTTTCCGACGCAACGTCGTAAAATTCACGGTGACCGATGACTATAAATTTTTTTCCCTCCACTTTAAACTTCACTTGTTTTTGAAATGTTTTAAGACATTTTTTTTCATTTTCAAAAAGTGCGCGGTCAACCATCAGTGGTCGGAAATGGAAAACATGTCTCGATAAGAAGAGCTTTGTGAATCTTTTCATGTATTTTATTTTATTTTTATTTTTAATAATTTATTATTTATTAGAATAGTTGTTGTGATATTAATTGGTGTATCATTTTTTCGTGTTTTTGCTATATTTTTTTAAATCATCTCTATGCACTTAAGATGGTTCAAATCAGGATCCGAAAAACAACTATGATCATAACCAAAAAAAAAATTAAGGTGATGGCTGGTTATACTTCTTTTGTCCTCTACTATCAAACATTTTCTACTATCAGTCTATGAGATATCTTTGAGATATCCCGCGGATCTTTCAGTCCCGCTCCAGTCAATCCACACACATACAAATGCATTTTTAATGTAAGTAATCAGTAATTTCTGTTTGATTTTTTCACTTCATTTTATTAAAACAGTTCATGTGCTATTATGCACAAAAAGACTCGATAGCATCTTGTAAAATCATGGCGGCCATTATAACATATTGTAATCGTCCAAAAATCGAAATTGAAACTTTTTGCATTTCTTCACGATTTGAAGGTTTCTGAACATTTTGGCATACCTCAGAAAAAATAGATGACTGTATGGAAACAATTTTTCGTCCATGTTTTCGGGCGCACGGATCAACCGATTTGAATGATTCAAAAAACATTTGATTCCTATTGATAAGAAGACGTGCTGATTAGTTTTGGACAAAAGTCGGTCCAACCGTTTTGGAGTTACGGAGCAAAGAGTGCAGAAAATAGAAATCTAGTTTTTGAGAGAACGGAGCATCCGATTTGAATGATCCAAAAAGCATTCAATTTGTAATGATGGGGAAAATTGGTGATTAGTTTTTGGCAGAAACAGGTCCAGTCGTTTCGGAGATATCAACCTTAATGTGCAAAAAATGGCAGTTTTTGAGAGAACTAAGCATCCGATTTGAATGATTCAAAAAAATTTTTGCTTGTGTTGATGAAAGAATTGCTTTTGAGGATTTTTTTTATTAAAAAAAAATATTATCGAAAATTATTCGAATTTTAATTTTAATTCTAGCTAAAGTTCTAAAGCTCTCTTATATACTTTAATTAAATAAATTTAACTTTGAAATTCAGTTTAAATATTTCATATAAATATTAGACAATGTCCTTAATTTTAAATGCGGTTGTTTAAATTTTGTTTATTAACTATTCTGTAAACACATATAAACGTCATCGACCAATTCATAAGCTCTCATATATTTTGTCTTTAAAGTAAGTAGTTACAGTACTTATAATAATCTATTTAAAAACATTTAATATTCTTCGAATATTTCACTACTAAAGGCACGATGCCATACACCACTAGTTTTTTTTTAAACAATGGGTTATTATAAGTGATATGTCAATGTAAGCGAAGTCAATATATCCAAATGTTTTTTTAACGAATTTTATATGAAACCAAACTTCACAGTGGGATTACGTCAATATAAGCGGTCGGTCAAAGTACCTGGCGTCATACTAAGTGGATTCTACTGTATATATGTATATATGTATATATGTATATATATATATATATATATATATATATATTATTATTATATATTATTTATATATTAGATAAATAAAAACTTAATTTTCTATCTAGTGCATTCATGTATTTAGGTTGTAATTTATAATATAAATAATACTTCTTAACTAAACTTAAAATATCACAAATTATATCACAGTGCACACAAGGTCAGTCAATAAGAGTTTGTTCCACACACATTTTGACCTGTTTGTCATACTCCTCACGATTTTCTTTGTACGTACTTGCCGCCACTGAATTTGCGGGTGATTCAGGATTCGGTTCACAGAGTAAGTACCGGATTGATGTTAGAATGGTAGATATATCATAAGTCCCACTCCACTTACTATGCAATATATCTAAGCATACAATACCATTTGCGTAGATATTGGGGTGAAACATTCTGTTTCTAAATCGTACAAGCGGTGGTTCGTTTGGGTAAGTTTCAGAAAATAATAATTTTAATCGAAATATGCCGTTTTCGAAAGGTGTGCCTAGTGGTCCCAAAATTACGGCATTCCATATCAGTATATTATTATCTGAGGGAGCTCCCGACACTCCGATTGGTGGATCCTCTTGCAATCTCTTGAAATCCCGCAGTAATCGCCGTCGTACTGGTGTTGACATCTTCAAAAATTACTTCACGTATATACGTCGTAAATTACTTAACTCTAACTATCACTTGATTTTAACTTTTTTAATCACACTCAACAATTTTTTAATCAAATTTGCCACATTAATACTTAAATTTCATTAACAAGGTGAATGATTTGGCGCACTTTACTTAGCTAACCGCAAAAGGAACGACTGTGTGTCCTGTGTCCATACATAGACAAAATAAGTTCACGTTTGGCTCAGTGGCGCTGGGAATGTTTATCGCTTGGCGATCCCGCGCTCATCAAAACAGTCGAAATAATGGCGCTCATCAAAGCAGTCAAAATAATGGCGCATAATTTGAACTGAATTTTAATAATCGGTTGGTTGAACCGAAATTTAAAATACAAACCTAGTATTTTTTCTAATAATACAATAATAAAAAGAATAAAAATAAAAAAAGAAAATAATAATCTATTATAATATTAACTTCCCGTAGGGCAAGTTATAGTAATCGCAAAAAATTGAAAACTAGCTGTAAGTGGAATTCCGTCTTAAGGCAATTCCCGTACCAAAAATTATTATTTTTTTAAAAACAATTAACATTTTTGAGAAAATTTTACTTTAAAACTATAATTATTTATTTATTAATTACTTTGAAACTATAAAATTGACAAAAAATTACTTTAAAAAAAAAATTTTTTTTGAAAACAAAATTTTTTTGAAAAGAAAAATGTTTTCTTCATTTTGACATATTTTGGAAATTCTGAATTTTTTTCAGAGCAATCGTATTGCTTGAACTGCATAGAGACGAAATGTCAAAGCGCGCAAGTGCCGCGCCGCCGTCTAACGCATAAGCATTGGTACGGTACCCATAGAAATGTAAAAAATGTATACTTATTGTTAAAATCACTATAAAATATCTGATAATTTGATTTGCATATGTCTAATGATCATTTTTAACCACCAGATAGCATTTTTTTTACTTTTTTTATTAGATCTCCGAAACCGCTAAATCAAATCAATTCTTCATCTTGTCAATACAAGTAAAATGTTTTTTGAATTATTCAAATCGGACGCTCCGTTCTCTTACAAACTGAGTTACCGTTTTCGTCACTTTTTGCCCCGTATCTTTGGAACGGCTAGACCTCCCTGCGCCAAAAACTAATCAGCACGTCTTCTTATCAATACGAATCGAATGTTCTTTGAATTATTCAAATCGGTTGATCCGTGTTCCCGAAATCGTCGACGAAAATTTGTATCCGCACATATATACACACACGTACATACATTCATACACACACACACACACATACATCCATTTTTTCTAAGGTATGCCAAAATGTTCAGAAACCTTTGAAACGTAAAGATATATAAAAATTTTCATTTTCGATTTTTTGCGATTACTATAACTTGCCCTACGGGAAGTTAATAATAAATATATGAATATTTTAAATTTATCTGATATCTAAAAATTAGAAACCGTTAACGTTCTTTTGTAAGTATAGATACCTCTCATACCTTTCTTTACGTTTGTCGCCCTTCTAGGTATTTTTAGGTTTTTTAGGCTTACTCCTTTAGCTACTGGTTATTCATTTTTTATTGGCTTTGTGCAAATTTATTCCTTCGATTTATTATGCACTCTTGTTATTAAACGCAAATGATTGTTGCATTTGTATTCTTATATGTATATCAAAGTTTAATTTTTCTAATTCTGCTGAATTTGTTAAAGTTTTCTTATAACACATCAACATGTAATCTTCTATATGCATCTGAAGTTAGTTCAAATAATATTGACTTTTTCATAAATACCAATTGTCTTTAGCTTTTTAAATTGATCTATTACTTAATCGTAGATTATATGCAAGGTAGTATTCAGAATTCAACATTTAGCATTTTATTATTATTTGTACAAGTAGCAAGAATAATTATTTAATCAAATATTGCCACTATTATAAAAAAACGAATTTTTATTGATTATTTTTATTCCTTGTATAATTAATTACGTTACGAGAAATTCCAGCAATTATTAACTTCCCGAAGGAGAAGTTTATGTTTTCATCAAAAAATCCGATTCACTAATGTTATGTTTTCTCGACGTTTCAAGTCATTCTGAGTCGAATGAGACCAAATTTGAAAAAAGTATGTGTGTGAGCGTATGTGAACAAATTTTTTGTCGTAATTCGACGTTTTCTCAAAAACGGTTGGAACGATTTCAAATATTTTAAAGCCGATTCGATGTAGACGAGGACTAGCGTTTATCAAATTTGCGCGACGATCAACCAAGCCGTTTCTTTGTACATCGCAGAGAAGTGAAAAATTTTTCGTTCAGGTTTTAGCCCGAAATTCTGAATCGAAAAAAAATTTCGAAAAAACTGTTCGAAAGATATTGGTTAGGAATCGCGCTGATTAGTTTTTGGTGAAGATTGGCCGGGTCGTTTTCTTATAATAAAGTGTTAAAAAAATTTTTTTTCGACGATTTTTATGATTTTGATTTGACGGTAGATACCATAGACTTCTAGATCATACTAAAATATTACGGCCCTACGATAAGTCGTTTAATTTTGAAAATTTTTCAAAGTTTGCAAAAATTAGTATCGTTTTTTTGACATTTGTCAAAATTAGACTTTTGATCAACGTTTAGTCAAAAACGCCTGAACCGAATTCAAAAATTTAAAAGCCATTTGGTGTATCTTAATGAAGTCTAACGTTTGTCAGTTTTGTGAGACGATCTACCGAGCCGTTTCTTTGTAATTTGAAAAAAGTATTAAACTTTTCGACCACATTTAAGCTCATACTACCAAATCGATTTTAAAAAATCAAAAACTGTTCGAAAGATATTAGTTGGGAATGACACTGATTAGTTTTAGGTAAAAATCTACCAAGCCGCTTTCTTGTAATTAACTGTTGAAAAAAAAGATTAAGCCGATTTTTATGGAACTTTTTTTGGCGATATATATCATGGTCTTATAGAACTTACTGAAATATTACGGCCTTACGACAAGTAGTTTAAATTTAAAAATTTATCAAAGTTTGAGAAAATGAGCAGTTTTTCTGACGTTTATTAAAATATAAATTAGACGATTTACTTAATATAACGATAGAGTACTTGGTTTTAATGCACATACTAAACCGTTAAAGTCCTACGGAAACTGGTTCAATTATAAAAATTATAGATTTGTGATAATTTGCTTTCAGAAAATACTCCGAGTTAACGTGTTCGTTCGTTTTCAATTATGTGTAATAAATCCACTCGGAATACTTTTAATTACTCATAAATTAATTTATTTTTTATTGATTAAGTCGATTATTTACACATATCGGGAAGTTTATGTAACTTCCAACTAGTTATTCCATTCCTTAAGGCACAATGTCATACGTCACTTGTTAATATTAAAATAAAATATAGATCTAACTGATCCAAATGACTTATGGTTATCAAAAAATAAAAATAAAAAATATATTATTTTAACTGAAATTTCGGTCAAATAAATTACAAAAAAATCGTAAAATCTAAAAACTTAAATAAAAACGGTATAAATAGAAATACTTCAAAAATGGAAAAGATATATTACTCAATATTCGATGAAAGTAAGTAATTAATTTCAATTGAAAATGATACTGACATATAAACTTCAATTTTTTTTTTCAACTTTTGAAGTAATGCAAATAAAGTATGATTGTGCGAAAAATGTAAATATTTTGAATGAGAAGATTAATAATTCCAAATATAGTTCCTGAAAATAAACTTAAACTGATTCGGCAAGTGTTCTTAATTATTCATTATGGCTCTACGTAACGTGCATAGGAATTTAGAAATGAAGAAATTTTGGTAAATTAAATTTAGTTTTGTTTACAAATTAAATGATTCAATCATGACCTAATGTTACTAATTTGTTTGTTATATTTTAGACATCAAAAAAACTATTGAAAAACAAAAAAAAAAAACGGAAAATGTAAAAAGTTTTATTGTTTTAACAGAATAGTTAAAATTTTAATAAACTGATAAATATAAGAATTTGTGGTTTCATTATTATTGGTATTAAAATATCAGTTTCACAAAAAATTTGAAAATATTCCAAGTTATTAAAAACATGTGTAACGATATAAAATATTTATATTAAAATAAAATATTATTTAATATATTTTAAAACCACATACATGAATTTTGTTTCGATAACTCATTAAGTATCACATATTTTTAGTGTAGTTAGTTGTAATAGCAAAACATATATATTTTGCAATAGTGCAAATACCATGAAGCAGATCAATTATTCCAAATTTTGTCAGGTGTAGGCTCTGATTTTTTTTGTATATTAACAGCATTCAGAATTTGTTCTATGAGTTATTGTGATAACTTTATAATGACGTGACTTTCGTGGATGGCAACATAGACCTTGCACTACATGGACTAGTAGTCGAGCGCAAATAAGTGTCAAAAGGTAGAAGGGGACTGTGACGTCACTTTGTGAACGAGCGTGGCCGACAATCGTGGAACACTCCTGATTGATTAAATGTCATATGTCACGTACTTAATGTAAAATTAAAAATTGTGCTTGAAATTGTTAAATTGTTGTGAAGAAAAAAATCAGTTTATGTAGTGTAAGATTCATGTAGTGCAAGGGAGTATCCAGAATTCAACATTTAGCATTTTATTATTTTTACAAGTCACAAAAATAATTATTTCATCGAATATTGCAACTATTTTTATTTTGGCTTCTGGTTATAGTTTAGTCATTTTTTGTATTTATTAAAATAAAATAACAAAATGTTGATTGATACTAACAAAACCAATTTGTTATTAAAATTAGTGATTTGTAACTCCAAGTTAACTAGTTCAAATAAACTAATAATAATTATTTTCCAACATAAAAAACAATGGTTTTTTCAATGAATATTAATTTAATGATGCACAATTACATACATACTAATAAAAATAAAAAGTACGAGAGACCATGATAGTTGCTTTCCAACAGAGTATTATTGTGATATTTTGTGAAAATATTATAACATTCGTACTGAATCTGTCCTTA